CCTTTTTTCTGTTTAAGCGATGAGGTGACTTCTAGTAAGCAGTTGTAGAAACATACAGTTGGTGCTATTACTGGAGCTAGAAGCGCATTCACCTGACATTTCGGATTCTCACTCGAAGTGGGTTATAAGCCTAACTTCACAATCACGAAGATAATAGCCCATGCTGGAAACAAGCAGGCCGAAAATTGAGTAAAACCTGAGACTCAGATGAGGACTCAGTTACTCAATAAATCGATTTGGGGCTGGCACCTGGAGTCCTGCACAGTCACCTTCGCGTGATAGTTGACTGACAAAAAGCCCCTATAACTGCCGCCTATTCTGCTGCCAACGTTCCCTCCGACGGTGGAATTCTGCACGAATTCATAAGCTCTGACAAAAAACCAAGCGGTTCCGATGCTCGATTGATCTTTGTCCTTACACAAGCTCGATCTTATTGGATCTCATATATCAGATTGACCCACCATTGTGACCTGAGAACAAAACTTTCTCATAAGCATGTGTAAGCTCCCTAGTAATTCATGCAGTAAGCAGACATGCGTAGTCTGATGTACTTAAGTAATAATGCGGAAGAGACAATTTTCTTAAGGTCTGCCTCGTCTAATTTACTTGTTCAGCCTTCCACTTCGCTGATATATTTTTTCTCTAATGCCGAAACTGATTTGCATATATTTATGAAGAACATGCTCTGCGTCAGTGTGCAGTCAACTTACCTAAGCATATTCCAACAGCCGCTGAGTAGGGATAAAAGAATGCAGGAGCGCGATTGAAGCAAAAGCTGACGTGAACCAAGCTCATTGTAATAATGATTGATCCCAGCAGGTAATCCTTCTTGACATTTATCACATTCACAATGCTGCCAACAACGAGGCGGGCTACTGCATTAGAAATTCCACAGCAAGACATTATGGTCGCAGCAGTGAATGGAGATATTCCAAAAAATAGTAGATTGTCGTAGAATAGAATAACTGGAGATAAAGAACCGAGAGCATAGCAGAATAGCCCTGTCAGGTACATAATGAAACTTCGATTTTCCCAAAGGCTTTGTCCCTTGCCAAAGAGTCCATTAGCTTGCACCAGTTTTTCAACCTCTACTAGGTATGAGAAGGATCCCAGGCTGCCCAACATGTTCTGCATTTTCGGTGTAACCAGCGCGGCCTTTAAATCGGCTTGCGACTGCAGTGCCAAAGGTGTCCCGCCCAATTCGGCAGGAAGTTGGAGATAGCCGGAGCCCAGAAAACCCAAATTATCCGTAAGGCCGCTTGACTTCTTGGATGGTCCCATTGATATGGGTGGTGGTGGAGGAGGTGGTCTCTTGATGTTACTCAAACTAAGTGTCACCCCGAAGACGCAGCAATTCAAGAGGAGACCTGCGATTATTATGCATGCACCTTTCCAGCTGTACTTCGCCTCTAACAAAGGTATCGCGAGACTAAAAGCTGATGAACCTAAACATAGGCACAAACTTGTTAAAGTTATAAAATATTACTGAGTACCTAGTCCTGAACCGCAGGCCATTATGCCCATTGCTAATGGTCGCAGTTCATCGAAGCTAGTCGTTACTGAGACGATTGCGGATAGGTACAGCATGCCGTAACCGCAGCCACTCATAGCTCCGAAACAGAGAAACAGTGTGGGTAGCGTTGGCAGCAGACCAGTGAGCAAATGACCTAGGCAGGCAAGGAGAGCACCGGTTAGGGACACCGCGGATATTCCAAAGCGTTCGATCAGCGCACCCGTAAAAGGCCCTGGAAATGCGGAAGGGTTATCATCATCAAGGAGGATCTACCTAGACAGTAGGTAGTGAAAAGTTGGATTGAGCCGATGAAATCAAGCTGGAACCGTGTCACATTGAAATCAGCTAGCCAGAGAGATATAAAAATGCCGATATTGAAGGCACATCCATCGATCATAAAACAGATGCACAGTGCAGCCCATAACACGAGTGATAGATGGATCGTACACCCAGCCTGCTTCAAGTATCTGCAGGGCATTTTGGGTCTGCAGCGTATCAGAGATGGCTAGATGTTGCGCATGCGTTGGACCAAGAAGTTTGAAATATGGATCGATGCCATGCCATATCACCGCTACGTGCAGTGAGTGTGTTCCATGAATTCGCCGTCTAACGTATTACCTCGAAGTTGCAGCGCATGAGAAATTAATTAGCTTAGTTTTAATGACATGGGAAAGGGAAGGACACTGGCATTTGCGAAGAACCTCCAATATTATCAACTTTCTCAAAGTCAATGACAAAGAATTTTTAAAAAGTCATAAAAATACTCAATGAACTATCATTCAATTAATCGGCAACAGGAACTGTAATTCCTCCAAAGACATGAAAAGTTTTTTTAATTTGTCATTACTGGGCAAGTCTTTCGTGCTGGAGTGACTTACGAATGGTAAAGGCTTTTTTTTGAAATGCCAGTTTCTGTTCCCATTAAGAGAGATTTAAATTAGAGTTAAGCGCTGTTAAGGCGCAAATGACGCCCTTAACTCCACATGCGCTTACATTTTTTCCCTTTGAATACATTTCACATTACATCTACAGAACAGCGCAAGGAGATGACTAAAGACAGACTACAAACGACTTAAACACCTGCAGATATAATTTGTAAGTAAGGTGCCCTTCACGTGCTAATGGGCCCAGTATTCCACGTAGGCACGTCATGCTGAACGATGGGTTAAACGGCTAGATGTAAAAATTACGTAGTACTGAGTTGTCGAGTATGAAAATTGTAGTGGGATATATAGTCAATTTTAACAGCTTTTTATTTCACGCTGGGCTTATATTTTGAAATTCTCTCTTTTTAGAAAACTGCAATATATATTTCCTCTTATTAAATCATTTTGCACCGTCAGAAATATTAAACATCTGTTTTTGTATTCTTTCTACTGAAATTCAGTACGGCATCACAGATAGATCGAAATATTAATATCATACTTTGTCCTAATATGATTACTCAACAGACCCTATCAAATTGGTTTGCGAAATCTCGTTCTAGTTAGCTTGGCCCCACGGATAAGCCAACGTGGATGATGACGAACCAAAAGTCACCATAAGGTCAGACCTATCTCAAAGTGCACGTAAATTATCGTCAATGTTTTTTTTTTGTTAGGAAGCAAACCATATTAATTCACCTAGATGAAGTTGCTTAGTTGAAAAAAAAGTTGGCTATATGGGGTCTAACTATAAACATAAACAACAACGTTTCCCGTTAACAACTAACCCATTCATGAAGCGAGTTGTAACATGTAATGACAAACAGATCCCATTCGGTAACAGTAAACTTTCAGTAGAGTAATTGGTTAAGAAAGAACTACCAAGACACGGCCCTAAACGCAAGATTCACTAAAAGACGCCGATTGTGAGTGTCTGCTAGTCTGACGCAGGTAAGATTTATTAGAATCACATGAACGCTGGCCCACGGCACAAGTATACTGCAACAGCCTGGACCACACGACCTAGAAACATGCAGAAAAGCAGCTCAGATTGGTCAATGGATCGATTCCGCGACAACGCCAGCCCCCACGCACAGCACAACTGAAAAAATACAGGAATTGGATTTAGAACTTCTCCATCATCCACTGGCCTCACCAGATCTTGCCTCTACGGAATACCACTTTATCTGAAAGGTGGATAAATTTTCCTTATGAAAATGGGGCATCCAAAGATTTCAGTGACTTTCGATTATTAGGTCCTTACACCACTGGACTGAAAACGCTACCGCCGAAAAAGCAAAAGGGTATGGACAATGTGCGCGCGTATTCAATGGTGAATAAAAAATTTCTTGTATTTGTAAAACATTTGCAAATTTTTTTCCCACGTATTTCCGACTTGACGACCCCGTAGATTAGGGGATAGCTGATTCCCCTTTCAGACAGGAATCAACTGCAGAATCTCCAAGCTCCTGTGTGGGGCCAGCACGACGGGCGGTAACGACGGCGTCTATTATATGGTCAACAGTGGGGTGGGCCCATGGACTTGTGCGTGAATTAATTTAGAGTGCTAGTAGACTTTTGCTGAATCTACCATATTCTCTTTACCCCTCTCACTCGGACCCGGCATAATGTCAGATACAAGACCTGAGGCGGGTGAGGGCGGTTTTGTCTGGCGCGGTGGTCAAAAACGACTGGGCGTGCTACCACATCCCCTGACCAATGTTAGGACTCCTCGTAAGTAATTCCCCCTACTCCAGAACGTATTTCAGAATACACCATGGACTTGGACATTGACTTACTTCAAGATCATTTTGTGGAAAGGTCAAACAAGTACGGGTTCACGTAAGCCCAGCTGAAACTCCTATCAGGAGAAATGAGACTCGGAAGAAAATAGAGAAGAACGGTTGATGTCTGATCGTCCGATACAGCAGTTAAAAGCCTCGAGTGCCTTTGGAAGTAGTGAAGTGACTAGTTTTTATGACTCAAGGTAAGCTGCTGACGGATGCCTGCAGTCGAAACCGGCCTTGATTTTTGACGGTGAACGTTAGTGGTGGCAGTGAAGTAGAAGTAGAATGAATTTCGCCCTTGTATTCAGTTACGAAATCACCCACGGATACCGCTAAAACAACCAAGTCCCTATTTTTTCGGATGATCAATATCACGAATCAAAACTCCTTTGCCCTAATTCTACTGTAAAGTCGTCAGCGCGCTTTTCGACTGAACTCAAGATTGAAAACAGGAACCTTTCAAAGCTGCAGATATTTTCTGGTCAATAATTATAGACCAGCGCGTCCGTGGGTAGCAGTTGTTCGTGGTCTTATCTGTAGTCACGGTGCTTCGTCCATGCGGGATCGCGAGCATTAGGGTGGTGGTGGGGAGCGGGGGGGGTTGAAGAGGACGAAGTCCGCTTGACCTGCTGGCCTGTTGCCCTTCTTTACCGGAAACACGTGTTAGGGTCCGGTGCCCACATTCTTTGTATTTCCTTCTTTTGAAAATACTCGGCCAAACCTCGGGTGCTAATGCTGTGCTCAAAAACGAAAGCTGGAGACCATTTCAGTTCAAGCTGGAGCTGGCTGGTCAGATGTGTTAGGGAAGAACCATTGGCAAAATCTTCCCTGACGAGAAGAAAACGTCCCCCCCGCAACGCATAATGAAGCAAATTATTCAACGTCCTCTTGGAAGGCTTGGAAGGTTTTTTATTGGTAGATGGGCGCACTTGTCAAAGGCTATCCGAAAGGCAATTCACACGCTACGCTTTAGAAACTGCAGCTGACGGTGGAACGAATACTTGCTAGCAAAGCTATCATAGACAGACCTTATTTCACTTAGTTGCAGTTCTCATGCTCACTGGCCCTTCATCCTTTAAACGGACGCAGTGCCGTGTTATAGACTGGTACAATTTACAGAGCCCTAGACCTTCATCTCCCCTAGCGAGTGTTACGCACACGGTTCGAGTCAGTTTAAACAAGGCCAACAGGAAGGCAAAGTAAACTCAAACGTGGACTTCAACAGGGATCAGAGGAAAACAGGGGAGGAGCCGGCTAGGAACCACGTGACCAGCGTGCAACACTACGTTATCGCCGCGCCCACGAGATTGACATCAAGTCACTTGAGCAGCAAATACTGATTAATCTGACGGTCGACGAAGGGCAGGCCAGCCTGTACGCTGACTTACGACAGCCGCAAAGAGGGCAAAGGTCACACGAGCCCACCAGTGGTCAAACTCACGGTTAGTCAGCAGTGAACAGGCATGTCAGAGTTCGTACGTCGAGCACGGATATAATAACAGGTATACGGCAAGGCTAAAAACAGTCTCGGCAAACAGGAACAATCATCTAGTTACCCTGACGATGGAACCGGGCGAGTGTCCGAATCGTCAGTCTCAGTATAGTTCAGTCCATGTCCTCGTACCTTCCCCCTCATCCTCTTTGGGGGATGGTGGAAACGGTAAGATGTCTGGATCTAACATCTTCACGCATATTGGTAATAAAGTATTTTTCAAGGAAAGGCGTCCTTTGGGAAAAGGAGTAAATCTATTCGTAAATTTTTGACACTCAGATCGTCAAGTCGTCGTCAGACTTGAGAAAAATGCACAAAGAACAGTTAGCACTTCAAAGTGCTGATACAGTTATATAGTCATCTAGTGTGGGCGCTAATTGCTAGTTGCAATTTGCGTCACATCGTGGTGGACATAATTAACAGTCGCAATGGCTAAGTAGCAACTGTAATTTGAGTCAGCCAGGGGTCAGTCCAGGTCATCCGGTGTGAGCGCTAACTGCGGTTCATTTTGGTCCATAGTTGTCGGCTGTAGTCTCTTCCACCTTTCTTTGAGGTGTTTGTACACCCCAGCCAACTCCATACGCCGGTTAATGCATGCATCATCGGCGTGCATGGCCTCAAGAAATTCCCGGCCTTTTTGTAGGAACAAACTCCGATGATGCGTGTTTTATCCCATGCAAAAGTATGTCTTATGTCAAGGCAATACATAGCCACTTCGGACAAATGGTCACATCTCTTCACTGCCAGTTGGTGCTCGTGGATGCGTGTGGAGACGGATGTTCCTGTTTGATCGCAATATACCGTATCAGAAGCTTCGCACGGGATTTTTTTAGTTGACGTTCCTATCGAGGTAGCCAACCTCATCCTTAGGGTGTACTAGCTGAGTGCGTAAAGTAGCCATCGGTTTGTGCGC